AAAATTTCTATAATGAAAAATTGTACATAAAGTTTTTATATTATTCTACTTGCTGTTACAAAAGTGGCTGGAACAACAAAGGAAGGTCATGACAATTAAAAACAATTTGCAACTTTTGTATGTTGTATTATATAATTTATACAACTTTTAGGTATGCGCGTGCCCTGTTTGTCGCTTAGGATTTTATGACTCGTAATAAATTTATCCGATCGTGCATACAATAGGACATGGAATATTGTATTATTAAATCGAGAGAGGCCAGCCGTGTGCACCTGTTACGGACATCTCCCGCGTAATCCATATTTTACAAACGCAATATCGATAGCCGCCAGCGAGATATTTCCTTTGTTCTCATGCCTAGAATTAACATCATTAATAAATTGCAGCATCGAGAATGACTAGTAATGCTTCGTTCATGCGCTAAATCGCGAATTTGCAAAGAATAATCGTAAAGATGACTATCGTCCGAGGGCGAAAAATATCTTGTAAAATTTGCAATACCATCAACGAAACACAATTACAAAGCGCGCAACTGTCAAAATACTGGAAGCTTTAATCATTTTTTTTAACTATTGTTTTTTATTTTTAAAACGGAGACAGCGTTCTATAGACATGAGTGAAAAAACTGTAAACATGAAAGTGCAACGAGTACCAATTTAAATTTTTCATTCCAACAAATTACAACATAATCACTAATTATAATACAAACAAATTATTATATTAACAATCCGCATTTCTAGCAATCTGGAGATCTAATTAACCTAATTGTTTATTATTAATTCATCCGATAGCGTTATTCAAATTAATACATCCCGGAACATCCGCGGAACAAATGTGGAAATCAATGTTCGCACATGCGAAGATGGAATATAACTATTAGTGTAAAAGTTAACTATTAGTGGAAAGTTATTAATAGAGATTGAAAACGACATCAAAATTATTGTTTTCGGTATCTCTCAATATTAAGTAGTAAACTAATAAATACAGTAAATTCAAGGCTAATAAGAATCTGCGCTGTGATTCGTGCGCTGAGTGTAGTATACACATATAATAAGTAATAAATAAACTCTGAACTCTAAATATACCGATGTCTTGCGGTAATATTATTCCGATATAATATTATAATTAGAACGCTCTCTAACATATCAAACCAATTTATAATTTAATACTAATCAAACCAATTTAAATTTACACTCTATATATATATATATAT